ACCAATCGATACTGCATTCGTATCTAGCCCGCGCGCAATTCGAAATCGAACCTGCGCGCGGGCTAAACTAGTCATGATTGCGCGCGAATTTTGAATTTTCGACACCACGAGCGCCTATAGTCAATGGTGCTTGTACAGTAAAAGAATTACTGCAGATTCATTTATATGTTGCCTCTTATGATCGTATAACTGCCGTATATTGAATAAAGCTTTAACACCGCCGTTTTGGTTGTTCTAAAAGCACGTTTTGAAAAACGTTGGGTGACTGGCCCTTGTGTTCAGCAGGAGTTTTACCTCGACCCCCTCCTTCTCCCGGCCGCACCAATTTGGAGGAATGCACCATCTCTGGCTAATTGTAACTTTTCATTTATGCCATGGCTTTTTTGAGCAAATTTTATCGCAATAAGGGCAGTTCGTACGTTGTCCCCAGCGAGGAGAAGGCGTATTCCGATGGCTGAAATTGCGGGGGGGGGGGTTGGAGGGGAAAGGCGAGGAGGGGAGGAGTCGTATTTCTCCTCGAAGTATGTTCCGTTGTAGGTTGTTCTCGCTTTTCCTTCCTCCGGCTTGACGGTCGTTTTTTTTTTTGAAAAAAAAATGAGAAAAGGTGAAGGGAGAGGGGGGGGGGTGGAGGTGGAAAGTTGGGTAAACATGTAGATGGTCGATAGGATAGGAAAGGGGTCGTACTGGAAGAGGGAATTTGTGTGTGGGCGGGGGGGGAGTATTTGCCAACTTTCTCCCCAAGCACCCTCGTTCCGACACCAATGTCCTAGAGGACGCTGTGCTCGGTAGCAATATTGTGATTGTATTGCTTGATAGCATAAAAATCCCTGCAATGATTGACACACCTCCTCTTCTCACCGTTTTGACGGCTACAGAAGCCGAAGGCGGGGAGAGAGTAGCGGGCCAATGACGCCGCTTCCTAGCTCCGCCCAGCTGTAAATCTCGCACTGCAGGCACTAGCAGTTCACGGTCACGCGTCATTGGGATAATATAGAGAGTAGATGCTCAAATTCATCGGCCCTCTTTGATAGTCCGATGATAAATGAAATTTAAGAATTCTTAGGGTTAGAAACCTGGGAACTCTCTCTCTCTGCACACACTCTCTCAACGATGGTTCGTGAAAAGAGAGTTTCAGGCGGTTCACCCGCCTTGGAGTGGTGAAATAAGCGGGAAGAGGTAATCTGCTCCAATCAAGTCGTCTTCTGATCACACCCAAACGGCAGTCCCAGTAGTGGGCACGATGGCTGAGGGCGAACGGTTACAGCCAACTTCATTGATGGGAGGGTTAAGTGGGGTGTGGCCAAAGCCCTCTCGCAGCCCTCCCACCAATGACGCGGGCAGCAACAGCCCGCCCCCAACAATCGGGCGCATGTCTTTAAAGGACTGAGTACCAGTAGTCCGTAAACTGCGCCGTGGAGTGCAGACAGCAAGAGTGCTGAAGGGCAGAGAAAGGGACTACTGTGCAATACAGTGGGCAATATTTCAAAAGCATAGGAAACAGGGGTGCGTATTTGTTTTTTTTTCGCCACGTATCGTATAGTTAATGGGTTTGGATTTCATTTGAAACGTAAAATATAGTATTTACAGTGAAAATATGTCACAAAATCCACCGGTGGTTTTCAAAAATGCGCGGGAATTTCTCGATTTTGAATCTTCCAGCTCAGCTGCGCTGTCGTCAGGTTGTCCACTGCTGGATGATCTGCTGGGTAAGCTTGTTTGAACTCGTTATTGCCTGATTAAATATGTTGAAACGTGTGCTTAACCTGCCTGTGTAGGTGGCGGGTTTTTTCCCGGGACCATAACTGAAATCTCTGGCGAAGCAGGATGCGGCAAGTCGCAAATATGGTGATTCTTTCGAACTTTAAATGATTTGTTTCCTTTATTTTGCGAGCTTGGATAGGGTTTAAAATTATTAACTGCACCTCCTTTCGTTTCAGTATGCAATTCGCCGCTGTTTCGATTGCCAATGGTCACAATGTGGTGTGCGTGGAAACAGAACGTGGTTTTTCTGTGAAAAGGACTCATCAGGTTTGCCTTACGATTTTTCGTGCTATAGGGATTCGTGATGGCAATGGTTATACGAACGTTATCGTTGGAAGATAAAGTCTCTTAGAGTGCGTTTATACTTTGCGTCGGCGTTTTGAGCGACTAGGAAAGTATAAATATCGATCTAGCGTTTTGAGCAACCAGACACGTACAGACTTCGGTTACCGCTGAAAGGTCTGGCGAACGCCCAAAACGCTGGCAGACACTCAAAACGCTGGATCAATACTGTCGTTCCCTTGTCCCTCAAAACGCTGCCGCGAAGCATGAAGCATTACGTGACATCTTTTTGCGCATGGTCCTGTTACGAAACCCTGTAACGCAGATGGACAGAGGACAGCGGCTGCCAAAGCATCGAAACGTGCAAAAAACATATGGCGAGCCAGGAAACGGGATTTTTCAAGGGGAGGGGACTCCGGGGTGGGTGAGCTACTTATAGTCGGTGAAAAGCTGGAGTGAGCGAAGTCACAACGGCCATAGAGTGCCATGCGGACGAGAGAGTGCAGAGAAAAAGAGAAATCGACGCGTTCAAAGGGATTAGTTCAAGTTGTCCGTAGACCGTTAGTTGTATGATGTGTCATGAGACGTTAAAGGCACTTCTTGCGTTCATTTCGTATGCAGACGCATCCCTGATCAGAGTAGTTCTTTGCACGAACGACGAGGATGTACAGTCCCTATAGAAGCGTCATAGAGGCTTTCCCGCGTAGTTGCCTTGACGGCAGGGACGCAGAGCACACGGTTGACAGTTGCCCCGTAAAGCTGCACCACCTTCGCTGCTCAAAAATACGCATTAAAGACGCCACAGTATCGCAATGGTGGCATGCCCCACCCACTACCCTGCGCCACACCCACCGCTCATTTCTAAAAGCTTCCTTTTGATGTTGTCGTTTCGCTGTTAGTTCTTTCCATTCCGAATGATGAGGGTGAAGTGATACCTGCAGAAGAGAACTCGTCCAAGCGCTCTCTCCACGCTCTTGCTTGTACAAGCTCGGATCAGCAGGAAGTTCTATCTA